CCCCAAAACCCCAAAACCCCAAAACCCCAAAACCCCATGAATGAAGGATGGTGTTGATGATGTTCCGTAAACTTTTTAAAATTTTAAAATCATAATATGAAATGGAGGAGTGTTTCCCCCAAAAATATCCAAAGTTTCCTATTTATGCTTGACTCTTTAGATAAATACTCCTAAACTTCTATCTCATCTACAAAAGCATCCCTTTAATCTTTCAAACACCTAGTTATCCATATTTCTCTCCAGTTATACTTTGCTGAGGATGTCATGAAAGTAAGTTAAAAACTACCACCTAACTCTCTTCAGTTATCTTCAATTTCTACCACCTTCCATCATACTTGCCTTGGCTCATCCTATCGCAGACTAGTTTGTCACCTCATTAAACAAAAATATCTTGTTCTCGAACAAATCTGAAGAGGTTACGCCATAAGGATATTTTTAGTTTCTAAATTGCTGATGTGTTGACAGGAAGTAGTAATTAACCAATTCTTTTTAGAACGTTATCTGACAGAGTGAGATCCTGCCTATGTAGAGATGATCACACCAAAACTGGTGAGGACTTAGAATCAATAGCTTTTCTCTATCAATGTCTAGCTTTTATTGGTCATATAACCATTTGAGTCCCTCAGATTGAATTGGAAGTCTCTTATCAAAGACCTCTAATAACTCCATGACTTTTATCTACTGTAAGTTCTCTTATGGCAAGGAACAAAAAATCCGGTTAGGCTAAAATTTATACAACTTGAGTTCTAATTCGTAGGAATTATTCTGAAAGTAGTTCCTCATAAACCTAATGCGAATTGAAGAATTCAGAAAAATTAGATCCGGAAATCCTCAAGAAGGAAAACGAGCTTGACAATCAGATTCATTAAATAGCTTCGTTATTAAATATGAATTAATTAATGAGTGATTAGAACGAGTGTCTAACCAATCTAGTTGTGTTTGAAAGAGCTTTTTAGCATAAACTCTTTCCTGGCTTCCATCTCCGAATGGACTTCTTCAAGACACTCTCTTGAAAAATCTTCAGAGAACCATGAATTTTCAAGGATCTCGGATACTGAAGGCCTATTTTCAGGGTCAATATCCGTCATACTTTTAATTAAATCTTGCAGACAAGGACTTAGCTTCTTAAACTTCCTTAATGTCTCAAGGTTAGCCTCCTGTTGAGGGAGCAAAGTAGAGTTCTTTTCACTATCTTCAGTAGAGGAGTAGTCTCTCAGTCTTTCCAAATTAGGAAATTCACCAACCAATAAGACAAAAAGAGATATCCCTAGAGAGAAGATGTCCGCTTTGAAAGCACTATACATCGATCCAGAAGTTTTATGGAGTACTTCTGGAGCCATATAGTATTTAGTTCCTCTTCTTTTATCAGTGCATCCAGAAGTGTCTTCAACATTAATCGAAGCACCCATATCAGCAATCTTGATATTAAAGAGACTGTCGAGCAATATGTTTTCCAGCTTGATATCAAGATGAGCGTATCCTTGTTGATGGATAAACTCCATTGCATTGCAGATCTGGATCATGAAGAACTTCACTATTCTCTCTTCAATGGCTCCAGTATACCTAACGAAGTTGGCAATGGAGCCGTGTTCAGCATACTCGAGTATGCTGTACATAATCTCTTCATTTTCTCCTTCCATTGTTGCTACTCCGTTGACATTAACTCCATAGGAGTCGATGATATTTGGATGATATTGCAACTTCTGAAGAAGAGAGTGCTCCCTGTAGAGCATATCCTCAGCAGCCTCACGCTTATATTTCTTGTCTTGCCTGATAACTTTGAGAACTACCTTGTTTCCGAGCCTGTCTTTGGATAGGAAGACCTTAGAGCTCCCACCCTTTCCAATATAGTTCATCAGAGAAAATGTATTGTCTATCATAAATATTAATTATAAGATTTTCTGAAATTTTTTCCTAAATATCAACTTTTGCTGAAAATTGCTGTTTGTCAGGCACAAATCGAAAGAGAGGAGATATGCTGAAACTAAAACCTTGGGATGCTTCTTTGCTATACGAAGTTTTTTATTGGAATTATTAGGACAGAATAGTCTTGCCATCCATGCAGATAACATGGCTTGATGTTCAAGCTTAAAAGTCATAAACACAGCCTTCTTTTTAACTTTTCTCAACCAATTAATACTGCATTCAATAATATTTTCGCAGTTGGGACAATTCAAAAAGACCATGCACATGCTGATTTCAGCATTTGTTGCACAAAACTAACAGATGAGCATTTCAACATGGTGATAAATTGCTTCGCTTCATCGCACGATGCTAACAGTTTTTATTATTAAATTCAAATTTACACTGAAGATAATGACATGACTCGGAATCGATTTGTCATAGCATTGCCAATACTTTATAATTCAGATGCTAAATTCTCTTGTTTAAAAAGTGATCTATGTAAATTATTATAGACAGGCCTGTTCATTTGATTTGGCCTTTACAGGGTTGGATTTTCTAAGCCTACCACTCCAAATGCACAGTTATCATGTCTAAAATAAGCTAATTCAGGTATAAAACTAGACTCTTAGCTAGTTTTGAACTACTGCAAAGACTTTAGTGGGCATATATCATCAATCTATACGTTGATAGATTTGCTTAAAATTTCATCTTCATTGATAAATAAAATAAAAGGAATATTGGATTAGATCCAATCATGCATTTGGGTATAGGGGTTTTGGGGTTTTGGGGTTTTGGGG